ATGCTGCTGCGCACCTTCTAGTAAGCATTCCGAAGTTGACTCAGTCGCGTGGTGTCGCTGTTGACGATGACCGCCAAGTAGTCCATGATGACTTGCGTGTCCAGAATCACGCGGAAACGACCCATAGCTTGCCACACCACCCTGTCTCGCATCAGCAGCTTGGAGTCCTTGAAAGCCTTGTGCAAGCTGTCTCTGTCGACGAAGCCCACCAACCTTTTATGCGCTGAAGCGCGATGCTGAGCTCGGGAGACAGGTTCATTCTGTTAGCTCTACCTTTCGCCGAGAAGCACTTTCCCTCGAGCCTTCAGTGATGCATGCAGCGGGCAGGCTTCTGTTCGGATCTCTCGCATCCCACACCCTGCTGGCAGGCTCATGGCTAATTCAAGAAGGGGATTTCGGACACAGACCGAACAAACAACGAGCCAGGACCTCAGAAACACAGCGACCGTCTACAGGTTTTTGAGCAGCTCCTCGAAGACCAAGGCGACACACCTGACAAGCGCAGATGCCCGAACAATGCGCCGTGCGATTGTGTTTGTCTAGCTCCATTGTTACCAACTGCTGGAGGGTATCCTCTGGGTTTCGGCGTGAATTGTTCATTCAAAACATGAATTGTTGTAAATTTGCACACTCCAATTTTGAAACAATTCACGCTGACTCTGGGACAATCCAGGCGAGGCATATGGTAGCTCTGGGTTGAGGGTCTAGTCTAGGGCTCTTCCCCGAAGATCATGCGATCCATGGGGACTATAGTGGTAGGCGGCATTAAGCATACACATACACACATGCATCTAAATACATACATCTAAATACATACATACGTACATACATACATACACGTATACTCATAATGTGTCACGTATGTAATTATATATACCATAAACCCTATTTGCAGCTTAGCCGCTGAAGGGCCGGATCTTCCAGCTTTTGAATCTGGCGCTTCACCATCCTTTCGAAGGCGATCTCTGGCACGAAAAGCCTGAAACGAGTGGTCTCAGCTCGGATTTGCGATTTGAGGCTCTTGTAGAGTTCGAGCATGTGCTGTATTATTTGGGGATTTCGAAAGATTTTTTTGGCTTAGGGCAGTTTATTCTGTGTCTTTGGCAGGAGTTGCACAGGATCAACAGCCAAGTAGCTGTGGCTTAGGGCCAGCAGCATTTCTCATTGCAACGCGGATGTCCATGTCAGACAGCCCCGTGAAGGCATCGAACTGGAGTATCTCCTGTTGTTGTCAGTGCTGCATTAGGCTCGTGGCTCGTGGCATTCAAAGATTACTCCGAGACTGCTTGAACAAGTCCTGGGCGAACACTCGATGGAAAATGTGATGGATCCGAGCGCCACCAACCAGCTTGGCTGGCGGAGGTTCCTGCAACAGTTCAGGCTTGGCAACACATGTTTGGCTCTTTCAAGCCGCGTGAGTTTGACGGTCAGACCCTCGAAGAGTGCATGTCTTGCAGTCTCCTGTAGACGATGCTCGACGCGGCCCTCAAGCAAGTCACCGAAATGACGCACGTAGCAGGAGATCAAATGTAGCCTGAGGGCTGGGGCTCGTGCCGCAACCGGCAACAAGCTGCAACTGAAACTTGAAATTCATCCATGGTGCAAGAGTGGCCCTTGCCCCATCTGCTTCTCCAGGTTTTCGTCGCCGAGAGTCGCGAGCTCCTGAGAAGCTCAACAGGAGAAGGCACCGGTTAGAAAAAACCTCAGATTCGAGGCAGCAGTCCTCGCGACACTTCCCAGCCACTTGCTGCACGTTCGTGCGCAGGGAAGGCAAAGCCTTCGCACCAAAAGCACTACCACTTCCCTTAGCCTTAATTATATAAATTCTCGCATTGTCGCTCTTGCAAACCCGTTCTGTACAACATGCCTCGGAAGCTGCTAGTTCCTGCCTCTCTGATGTGGTTCAAGAGCAGGAATTGCAGTCGCTGTGCGAGGTTGGGAATGCCGCACCTTGGTGGCACGAGACGCTGACAACCCCAAGAAATTCCAAGAAACATGTTAACATATCAGCGTTGCAAAGGGGAATGCAAGCTAAGTCAGCGGACTGGGACAGCAGTGGTTCGAAGCGCTGCTGTCGCGTGAAGAAATCGTGTTCCTCCTCCGTCACATCAGCCGAGGGAAAGCATAACTTCGTGCAAAGCTATCAGGCTATCAAGGGAAAGGCCTTCAGTGCATCCTCGAAGGTCATCCCAGCCTGGCTTGACTTCTCGTTCCTGTCAAGCAAGATCACCAGTTGCGCTTACCTCACCTATGGGCAGACACTGATCCCCCAAAACACTCTCCTGCAAACAACCGCGGTGTAGCCCAGGCGAAGTGGGTAGACTTCACCCGCAAGTGCTTCGAAGGCTGTGCTCTGTTCCTCTGCCAGGTCCAGCTTCGTGAGCACCCCGACCTGACGTCAAACACTGTTTACAGAAACAAGGAAAGCAATCGAAGAAGCCCGTACTACTGCACAGAATAAAACTGCAATACCGCTTCGTGGCAACATTACGCCTGTATACCTTGCGAGATGTACTGTTATGACAGGCCAGTGCTTGGTGCATGAGTCTTTTCCTGTGTGCAGTGCGTTACATAGCTCTGCTCGGATACGGCCCATGTGACGTGTCACTATATGCTAGACAGGAATACCCCCCAAAGATTCAGGTCCCATCCTCTTCCTGCGTCCGCGCAGCTGTGCGCTGACCCTGAGGATCCACCTCTCGGGCCAAAGCAAGCGCATCCGAGGTGGCCAAGTCGACGTTTGCCGCGGACACGGCAAGGATCAGAGTGTTGCTGCTAGCCACGTACTTCTTGACCAGATTCCTTTCAAGTACTGCTTGGTCGCGATCGGAAGTAGCTTGTTCTCTTGGCACTGTTTCTGAATGCAAGGGCCAAGGCGATCGCGACTCAAGTCGGCCAAGCAACTGGATTCTCTTAGAGATGTCCTTGGGCTGGTCACCGGTTGGTACCTCGATGCTTACAGATGCGGGGCAGACACCCAAAGCAAGCGCCCCAAGAGATCGTTGGTTTGGCCCTCGACACTCCTCAATGCTGAATGGAAAACTCCCCAAAACCAGAAAAGAAACCTGGGACGGGGATTCCCTGTCTTCGTTCTTAGCTATCGGAAACATGCCAGCTCTCTGCGAACTATGGGGCCTTGGTCAGTCCGGGTAGGTCGACAAGGGTCAAGTCCATGACTGCCGGAGAGAAGATTCTGAGAAGGATCGGCTCGTCGCTGACACTGCCTCGAACGAGTTAAGGGGTTTTGTGTGTGGGGTTTTAGAGGTTCTTGACTGCGAAACTGGAGATGCAAATGGCTACTTCGCAAATGCCATCTAATCCTGTCAAGGAGCGACTGCCACTACACACACGCGCCGTTTCGGCTTCGATCTCTCTGCGGACGTCGCCGAAGTCACTAAACCTCGCAGACCCGGTCGACATGCTACAAATGAGCCTAAACTGCCAGACGGTTCCGGCCCCCACTACTGCTGAGACTTTGCTTGGCCTGCCTTCGATTGCTGTGCTGGAACTCTGCCCACTCGCTGTGTCCGGCTCCTTCAAGCGGCGAGTGAACAAGCAAACAAGTTCAGTCATCGACAACTGTCCCTTGTCTCACCCTTTCTCTCCAGCTTTCTCACGTTGTCATTCTCGCCCCACACCAATGAAACAAGATGAAACAAGCCCAGGGTCGGGTTGGAAACTCCTGCGATTCGAGTTAGTCTTCTTGCGGCTTTTCCGGGCGATATGCCTACCACAGATCACATCTCCCGTCCTGCATTGCGGACCTGTTGAAGCTGCAGAATCAACGGCCGCCGGGTCACTATCCCGCTTCCTCGTGGTAGAAAATCTCTGCCTGAGTATGTGTGCGAAAAGACCACATCTGTGCTTCTTGGTTCATCTTTCAATCGTTGTCCCGAAGCCGCCGAGAGGCCCACGAGGCTCTGCAAAACAGATGTCTTGCCCACAGACTGCGATCCCACCACTGCAATGGTGGGTAGCGAGAGCTCTGCATGCAATCCTGCATCCAAGACAACGACGCACCCCCCAATTTCTCAAGCATCGCACGGTGTGCATCATATGTGTGTACACAGCAAGACTCACGACGGGCGACTCGACTACCGAAAAAGTTAGAGCCGAACCTCATGCAAACAATGATAAGAACATGGGCAGCACACTGTATGTTTTCATGTTTGAGCGGCGCCAATGGGCCAATGCAATTCATGCCTGCACTCATGAGCTACGTGATGTGCTGACAAGAATCAACCCCGGCGTCCTGCCGAAACCAACACCTGATGGATGGCATTCAGCACGGCCAGGGGGTCTTTCATGGACGGGACCTCCTGGCACCCGACTGCTTCCTGAGGCTCCATGGACGTCAGAGCGCTGCTCGCAGACTCGGGTGAGGCGCGGAGTGCCGCATCCTGTCCATTGAAGCTCCGGAAATCGAAGTTGCATAACCCTTGAGTGATGCGAAGCACTTAAGGCACTGAATGCTGTAAAGCGCATAGTATTATGTAGTCCAAGAATCTTGAAACAAGACAGTCACGATTGCAATAAGCATAGATGTCGATTGTCAGCTCAAAGCTTAGCACAGGAAACAGCAATCCCTGTCGAAGAACGCTTCCCAGGTGAATTAAGTTTCCGTGCCTCCGCGCTACTGGCGGTTCCAGCTTCAGTGCGATGCATCCGCTCCTGCCAAAGTCTGCAGCCCCCATACCCTTGGCTACATTCTGGCTTCTCAAGAACTGTCTTTCTTCGCGCCAGAGGACATTCTGTTCAAGGGTGTGGAAAGAAAATAGCAGTTGCGAAACCCTGCTGGCACCCGTGTGGAACGCCTGTAGACCCTGGAAGAAGCCACAGAGACCAACATGGAAACGGAAACCCTTACAGAACCCATTAACTGCCCCTGATGAGCGGGGCCTTGGCTGCCACTAGGCCTTCGTGGAATCCGCGTAGGACATTCATGCGACAGCGGGCGAAGCGGAGACGTAGCTCTCCCGTGCGGCGCCATGGTAGACCCAACACTTGAGGTTCAGGTTCCTAGGAAGTTGCTAGGGCTTTCTTTGGGGAACTGATGGTGCTTTCGGTGTGGCTTTAGGATTTCTTCGGCTTCGGCTTTGGTCTATGGCTCACAGTTCGTAGAAGGGCTGACGGGGATTCCAAAAGTCAAAGTGTTCTGGCCGAAAACCTCGGAAGGGCCTGCTGGTCTTCCATTCTTCCATCGCGTTCGTGTAGGCTAATCGGGTCTTCTACGATCAGCACACGTTGCTTGAGCGAACGGGTGTCTCGCAACCCGAAGCCAAAATCTTCACCGCGTGAGTGTTGAAGCGCATCAGAACGAAACCGCCATGTGAGCTTTTTCGACTGCATGGAGTACTTTCTAGCGGGATAGTGCTCTATCTGCCATGAAGGACGAGCTAAGATCTCAGCTTTGGAGATCTTGTAGCCTCCGAAGACTTGCCGCATCCAGTCTCTGGCCATTTGAGCGCACGTGGTCTCGAAGCTCTGGCAGCTCTACCAGATTCTGTGTGTGCGCGCGCAAGGACGCACAAAAAGCAAGGAACAAGCGATGCAGAAAGTAGAGAAAGAAAGATAGATTTACAGTATAGTGATTATACAATATGCGAAGACATGGCGACCTTCGCTTGGACTTCGTCCATGGAGACAAAGGCCGCAACTACATACACCCTGCCCTCTGCAAAAGGCACGTGTCGAAAAATAAGTACATCGAGGGCCCACCACACATTCCAAACCCCAGCGTCCTCGGTTGAAAAGACTCCGGGGGAGAAAGAGGTTGACAGGCTGTTTCGCCGATATCCAGAGTTCCTGGCAACAACTCTGAAAGCAGACTCGACAATCCGTGCTGATGAGCTTTCAGCAGCGCTTCGTGTCAAACTCCAGAGCTCGCCAAACGCCGCAAGGCACGGACGTCCGAAGGCCTAATCTTGCCGCGCTTCAGCCAAGGCCAAAGGCACTCGCACAGATATGTATAATGTATACGAAAATATGTAATATTCATAGGCAAAGGTATTTCATAAGTACATCCATAAATCCGCATGCATGCATGCATGCATGCATGGGAGGACATATTGATGTAACGAATACGTCTGCCCTGACCCATACACAAGCAAATGTAAGCCGTAGACATGGGTAAAACTCCCTGTCGTTCAGAAGGGATGGAATTCGAATTAGGCATGATGGTATGAAGCTGATGTGCGGCATGCGTCCCACATGATTGCATTGCGGACTATATAAGTATGACTATGGAGGCAGCGCCGGATGTATGCAGGCATGGTGCTTTGACCCAGCACAGGTCATCATCTTGAAGTCAAAGAGGCGCTCTTCTCCGCCTCAGCAAGAGTAAGATTTTTCCACTACGCCAGCTCGACTAAATCGCAAGGACGACGGAAACTGAGACTCGTCAGGAGATAGCCCTTGCGGTTGGGATTTGGGAACGGCGGTCCTCCGTCCCAGCCGGGCCCGAAAAGCGGCACCTTGCCAGACCCTGACTCTTCTTAGCTGTGGTCTGTTAGCAATCTTTTTGGCTGCTTTCTCGAGGATGGCTCGCAAAGGGACATCACTGCAGTTGCAGCAGAGCTCCATTCAGCAAGTGCCCCAACGCAGTCAGCTGCACATCCTTGGAGGTAAACTCGGCCAAGACTGCTCGAGCTTCCGCCAATCTGCCCTTGTCTTGCATAGCGCGGAGTTCTTCCGCCGCCTCCGCAATTGACTGGAATCTTCTAGACCTTGGCAGCTGCAGCACTGCTCTCAAGTAGACGTCGCTGAAGATGCGATCCGCCTGTAGCCCCATTTCCTTGAGGAACTTGTAAACCGTCTGAACCTCGTGCAGAGGGGCCCTCCTGCATGCACCCATCAACTCTCGGAAGACGACGATGTCCGGCTCAATGCCCTGTCCGAGGGCCAACTCAAAGAAGCTTTTTGCCGTCTCATGGCTCTTTTCGCTATCCTGGGTTCTCGGCTTATGCTATCCTGGTTCATGGGTTTATGTTTATCGGAAAGCCTCTCCCCACAAGACCCGCACAGAAAATGTCTCCCGAAAGGCCACCTAGAATCTGCATTTTTGCAGGCACGGATCGCGGAAGTGAAGTGCAGTAAGTTCGGCTCCATCGGGGGCTCTAGGCGTCCCATCTGATCCAGGAGTGTTTGGGCAGCTTGGATGTCTCCAACCTCCGCTGCGGCATCGAGCCTTGCAGCACAGAGGGCTGCGTCAAGAGGGTGTTCTGCCACCGCCTCTTCCCAAATCTCACCGACTCGAGAAGGATCGGACTTCGAGAAGATCTTCAGAGCCATCGAGAAGCTAGGGAGATCACGCCACACAGATCTCTGGCACATTTCCTCGTAGATGCTAGCGCCCTCGTCGAACTGTTTGCAGCGAATTGCTGCAAAAAGCGCTGCACTGTAAATCGGAGTCTGTGTGCCCCTGTAGTCCCATATGATAGCACTGGCCTTGCTCCAGTCCCGGCGCCTGCCAGCTCTAACGATGCTTTTTAAGAGCTTCTCCTCCTCTCTTCCCAGGAAGGCCTCGCCCCTCTCGCGCGCCGAGGCTGCGAATGGTCTCTCCTCGTCGGCCCACCTCCGCGGAGGAATCTGGGGGGCCTCGGTGTTCGTAGCTCCCGTGGCAAAGGAAGTCGCCGTGTATGTAAAAGCCAAGAAGGAGCAAGCCCGGACCAACTTCAGCAATGGCCCACTTCTGGCCTTCGCCGACATTTCCATGGCACAAGCTGCGCAGCTTCAAAACAGCGGAAGCTGAAAGTATAGGTTCGCGAGGTGCTCACTTGCGGGCACGAGTTTTACCTTTGGTCTTAGCGGCGTCCGGATGTTGCTAGGCTTCGTGCAACACATCAAAGACGGCGTAGTGCAGTCTTAGACACAGCAGTTGAACACAAATGCAGCAGAAGGCGTTCACGGAAGGCCCATGTTGGAGACTGCCCCTTGCCTGGCCATTGAGTGTAATCAGTGACAACACTCTGGGAATCCGAAGCCCCATCCCCTCACGACTTGCGTCCCAGAAGCTGCTCAAGGTCAGCAGAACTGGCGCGCCCTTTGAGGGTGGTAGGTGGAGCGGTAGTTCAGAAATTCACATCACGTGATGCGAGACTGCATGCTCGCACGAGTAGGGCCGAGGGTGCTGCTGCAGCTGTCGCGAGGTATGCTTGCCTTGGTCCAGTCCCTCACCGAGTTGGCACTCCGAGCACGGTGTCCAACTAGCGACAGAAGCATTCAAAAAGCCAGGCTGCTCGATTGCCACGGCATCGTGGAAACTGCAAGCCTGCACAAGTTTCGATTCTTTGGAAGGCACGACTAAGCAACCTGCGTCTTGCCCAGAAGGCGACTTCAATGCATGTGCAGCTCTACTCAATATGCTCGTTTGTAGGGTTGGATCCGCGGGGGCTGGATCAGTGGGCTTCGCAAAAACCAAAGTTATCAAATCAGAAGTCAACCTGAACAAAGACTTATTGGATACGTTACGACACGGTAGGTTTGTCCAGAATTAATGTAACTGGAGATTTGCAGACACTGAAAATTGTTGAGAAAACCATGAAAAAATGTAGTATTATTTCTGTCCAAGCCGGTGTGTGAACAGAGCAACCGGAAGCTGTGCCATTCCAGTGACTCCTTGCACCGACATTGGCACGTCGAGCAAGGTCACACTAGATGGCTGGCCTTTGTGTCCCCAAGCAAGGAAACTTGATGGCTCTTCGGGTGAGAGCCCGGCAACACCAACAGGTTTTCGCAAGGCTGAGAACGTCTGTGCAAGAGCCGGCAGAAGCTGCAAAGGTGTGACTCCCAAATTGTCAACAAGAAATTGTTCCTCAAGTGTGTTCACTTGTGCCATGCCACTGACCCCTTGCACCGACATGGGCACATCGGGCAAGGTCACAGTGGATGGCATCTATTGTTTTCTCACACTGCTCAGAACAACCTGTCAACTTAAACAGGTTGCTGCAAGGTTGAGGAAATCTTGAGTCAGCATGGCATTGCTTGGCAAGGTTGACGATTCGATTTGAGGAAATCTTGAGGAATCCTCCTCAAGTGGGGCAAAGAAGGCAAGAACGACGTCCAAGGCCCTGATTTGCCGGCGCATACTCATTCACTGAAAGAGCCATATCAATTCTGTTCCTCCAAGTGTGTTCACTGAGACAGCCACATCGACATAAGGCTGCAATCAAATCAGACTTGTGTCTCAATTGTTATGCAACCTTCTCATCAGTCATCGCACTGTTTTACCTGTGTTGCTGCATGGCCTGCTGTTGCTGTTGTGTCACAGCATTCACACCCCAAAAACCAGTCACAGCAGATTGGCTTGAATAATAATAAAAAGCATGCAGCTCAGTAAGCTATGAAACGTATTTTGGCTGACGAAGCGGATCGTCACAATAGATTCCGGACAATCTGCGCAACTGCTTCCCCGAACATCGAAGTGTATTCCCCACTAGCCTGTACATCTTCTGGCACACCGGTGAAACGGCCGTCTTCGCCTCGGTTTACCAGACCAATGAAAGCATTATGATCTGGTTTGGGCCTGGCCAGGTTCTCAAAATGAAACCCAGGCGAATGCCACAGTTGCAAGGGCTTCACTGACTTTCCGTTAAAGGCACCCATGTAGGTGCAAGTCTTTTCGAAGCCACAAAAGGATAGAACTTTTTTGACACACTCGAGGTGCG